TTTGTGTCCATTTATTCTTTTACATAGAGACTGTCCAGTTTGACCAATGTACATGTCAGAGGGGCATTGCTGGCACATGATGGCATATATCACATTGGTAGATGTGCAGGTGAATGAGCAGCGGGATTGTCTGGCTATGTAGACTCCCTCCTCAGGCCCTACACTACCAGTACTCCCAGCTATCTTCGAGACACCACTGACTTCCTGAGGAAACTACAATCCATCGGTGATCTTCCTGAAAACACCATCCTGGCCACTATGGATGTAGAAGCCCTCTACACCAATATTCCACACAAAGATGGACTACAAGCCATCAAGAACACTATCCCCGATAATGTCACAGCTAACCTGGTGGCTGAACTTTGTGACTTTGTCCTTACCCATAACTATTTTACATTTGGGGACAATGTATACCTTCAAATCAGGGGCACTGCTATGGGTACCCGCATGGCCCCACAGTATGCCAACATTTTTATGGCTGACTTAGAACAACGCTTCCTCAGCTCTCGTCCCCTAATGCCTGTACTCTATTTGCGCTACATTAATTACATCTTCATCATCTGTATCCATGGAAAAGAAGCCCTTGAGGAATTCCACCATGATTTCAACAATTTCCATCCCACCATCAACCTTAGCCTGGACCAGTCCACACAAGAGATCCACTTCCTGGACACTGTGGTGCTAATAAGCGATGGTCACATAAACACCACCCTATACCGGAAACCTACTGACCGCTATTCCTACCTACATGCCTCCAGCTTTCATCCAGACCACACCACACGATCCATTGTCTATAGCCAAGCTCTATGATACAACTGCATTTGCTCCAACCTCTCAGACAGAGACAAACATCTACAGGATCTCTATCAAGCATTCTTACAGCTACAATACCCACCTGCTGAAGTGAAGAAACAGATTGACAGAGCCAGAAGAGTACCCAGAAGTCACCTACTACAGGACAGGCCCAACAAAGAAAATAACAGAACGCCACTAGCCATCACCTTCAGCCCCCAACTAAAACCTCTCCAATGCATCATCAAGGATCTACAACCTACCCTGAAGGAAACCCATCACTCTCACAGATCTTGGGAGACAGGCCAGTCCTTGCTGACAGTCAGCCCCCCAACCTGAAGCAAATACTCACCAGCCACCACACAACAGAACCACTAACCCAGGAACCTATCCTTGCAACAAAGCCCATTGCCAACTGTGTCCACATATCTATTCAGGGGACACCATCATAGGGCCTAATCACATCAGCCACACTATCAGAGGCTCGTTCACCTGCACATCTACCAATGTGATATATGCCAGCATGTGCCAGCAATGCCCCTCTGCCATGTACATTGGTCAAACTGGACAGTCTCTAAGTAAAAAAATAAATGGACACAAATCAGACGTCAAGAATTATAACATTCAAAAACCAGTCGGAGAACACTTCAATCTCTTTCGTCACTCGATTACAGACCTAAAAGTGGCAATTCTTCAACAAAAAAACTTCAAAAACAGACTCCAAGGAGAGACTGCTGAATTAGAATTAATTTGCAAAATGGATACAGTTAACTTAGGCTTGAATAGAGACTGGGAGTGGGTCATTAAAGTAAACAAAGTAAAACTATTTCCCCATGTTTATTCCCACCCTCACCCCCCACTGTTCCTCAGACGTTCTTGTCAACTGGTGGAAATGGCCCACTTTGATTATCACTACAAAAGGTCCCCGTCCCTCCCCCCTGCCGCTCTGCTGCTGGTAATAGCTCACCTTAAGTGATCACTCTCCTTACAGTAAAAAGAAAAGGAGTACTTGTGACACCTTCTGAAACCTCTTGTTACAGTGTGTATGGTAACACCCATTGTTTCATGTTCTCTGTGTATATAAATCTCCCCACTGTATTTTCCACTGCATGCATCCGATGAAGTGAGCTGTAGCTCACAAAAGCTTATGCTCAAATAAATTTGTTTCTCTCTAAGGTGCCACAAGTCCTCCTTTTCTTTTTGCGAACAATTACAGTACTATGCTAGCCTCTGAGAGACAGAATGTCAAAATGGATATGAACTGAACATGAAATGGATCAGTGTCGCTTTATTGTTCAAACTGAAATGCAGAATGATTAAAATTAAATTTAATTTTTAAAATTCGCTCAGGTTGAATAACCTCAGATATTGTTGGTGATATCCACGCATGGTCATTTAAAAAATATTACTTTTATTTCTACAGTCCCTTTATATGCATATAAGAGAAAAAAGACCAGACACATTCTCTTTAACCATATCTTCCCTACAGGGGTAGATTGAGCTGATTTGCAGTAGCTCCTTTTCTTTCTTGGTGAGAGATTCCACTGGGTTGTATGAATAACTGCTCACCCACTGTTGTCACACCTGGGGCCACGCAAAGCTCTGATCAGCATTTCTCTATATCAGTGTGTATGTCCTCATTCTAATGATACTCCACTCTACATTTTCCTCACATCAGATCCAGATTTCATAATTCCTCTAATTACCCAGAGAATGAGTTTTATTGAGTTTTAGCTATATGCTTTCAGACAATCTAGACAAGACCGAATTAATGCTGGTTGGGTTAGGATTACATTTGTATGGATGGATGGGGCTGCATCTGCCCTCTCCATATTCCCCTTTCCAACTACCTTCCTCTCTGATGTGGTCTTTGACACAGTTATTCATACCTTTGGCTGAATGATTGCAGATCACATGTAACAGATTGGCAGGTGCTAGCAAGCTGCATAAAAAGGCAGAGGTTTTCTGCCAACTCTCCCTTGCAGCCAGAAGGCCTCAAGACAAAAGGGTTTCAGTTCTCTCCCTGGCAGAAGGAACTTCGGATGGGGGACAGAATGGTTGGGGGGTTTTTTTGGTTGGTTCATTGGGTTTTTTTTTGTTTTTTCATAGAAAATACCTAGGTTTTCAGGAAAGCCCCCTATTTTCAGGAAAAATCTTACGCTGAAGTTTATGTTTCTTGGTGGACAAGTTAACAAGGCAAAACCCAGGAAAGGACATATTTGAACCAGATCCAACATGTGACTATATCACAGAAATGCCTCTTGGAAGTTCAGATTCTTACAGAATGTTGCTGTCTGATTCTTACGCATTTGCAAGGAATTTACATCTGTGCTCAGAACTCTGCATGGCGTAGCCATTGCCTTCTGAGTAACATCCAGGGTTCTGGTTATGATATATAAAAAACATTATTGGAACCCAATTATTCAAGAAATAGCTTCTACTCCTATATTCTTTTTCTGTCAATTTCCAGATAATAGTCTCTAGGCCCAGCACCTAAGTTTCTTTCTGAGGAGACCCTCACATGTCGAGCTTGCATTTTCCCACAGTTCACCCAGAGTCAGTGATTGGCAGGCTTCAGCATGCTCTGTAAGGTGCCTTTTCTTATGCAGGCTAATTGAACCTTTTAAAAGGTCTTTGAAGAGAGATCATTTGGGCTAACAGTGTAGCCACTGGGCATTTGCCTACTGTATGTAGAAGGTATTGTTTAATTGTAGAGCTATGTTTGAATAAGGTAAGATGTCCAGATGCCATGGAGATGAGTGCTAAACACAGCTATGTAAGTGAATAAACCAATTTAATAACAACTTGGAGACATTGTGAGGCTTAATTAACAAATCTTTGTAAAGTGTTATATAAATGCAAATACATTAACATTACATAACATTAAATATAAGCAATAGCAGACTATGGGCAGAGTGAGTGGATAGGCAGACCCAGCCCAGTGTTCCAACCCCACTTCCCAAAGTACATGGGTAAATCTGGGGCCGTGTTGTCTGGAGCAATCCAGTCCTCAGCCTGAATCTGTCCCTAAATACAATTGTCCACAGCTTTTACAAATGATTGTTATACAGTGGCAGATTTTCTAGATTCAGAATAATCTGATTTATATAACAAACTCCTGTGTCCCTGACACATCAGATAAAGGACAAGGACGTTTTGTTTTAAAAAGGACTAATCCAGGGATTAAATAGTGATGGAAACCCAGTTTCATCTGTGCTTCCTATCACAGTCATAGCAATGGCCATGCCTGCTTCTATACTCCCTGCTATCCCATGCAAAATAAACGCAATGACAAGAAATAAGCCTAAAGAGACAGCATGAAGCAACAGCAGGAAATCATTATGCTAAGGCATAGGAGACATCCAAAGTAGTGATCTTTTGATCAGATAGAGGCAAACCTCTTAAAGCTGCAGGTTTCAGAGTAACAGCCGTGTTAGTCTGTATTCACAAAAAGAAAAGGAGTACTTGTGGCACCTTAGAGACTAACCAATTTATTTGAGCATGAGCTTTCATGAGCTACAGCTCACTTCATCGGATGCTGCAGGATAAGGCAAACCCCAGAGCCAAAACCAGAGCAGGAGAGGGGACATCTCAACTAGGCTGAGAAGAAATTGTATATACATAGCAAAGGTCACAGAAGTGGATGCCCCCTGGCTTTGCCCTACAGAGAACGCGGAGCGGAAGGAGGGATGTTTCTGCTAAAAGTAAAGGCAACGGGGCAGAGCTAAGAATAACTTCGCTACAACTACCCTCTTCCTTCATCAGTCCGGGTACCACTGCATCCTCCCCCTCCATCCGGCCTGGCCAGCATCGCCTCCTCCCCTGGCTGCAAACGAGATCCGTATCCGAGGGAGGCGGTATCTGACAGGCTGGATACATCACAAAATACAGGCCCCGCACAGAGTCCCATGAATAATGGGGACAATAAAAGGCTGGATTTGAGCAGATGGTTGGGTGAGTTCAGACGCCAGCTAACTCTCCCCTAGACTTTAAGGCCTGCCCTCAAACTCGGAGTCTCCATGGGCTTGTCTCTTCCTGTCTTCTGCGTTACCCGGGCCCGCCAGGGGCCTTCCGGCCGCAGCTCCAGCCCAATGGGGAAGGTGGTTCCTGCCCACGGCGGGCTGGGACTCCCTGCGCGGGGCGGGCAGGAGCCTTGGCGCCCCTCGGTACCAATCAAGGGCAAGTGGAAGCCCCGCCCGGCAGCGGGGCGCCGCCCTCCAAGCCCGGCTGCAGCCCGGCGGCGCCGCCTCCCGGGGCGCGCACAGAGCCCGGGCCGCTCCGGCTCCCAGTCCCTGCAGGAGGCGGAGGGAGCCCGCAGCTGCCCGGCCCGGGCGCCATGCAGCCGGGGAGGCGGTAGGGGCAGCCCGGGGGCATGGCCACCTGGAAGCGGGACGGCCGGGTGACCGGCTGCCAGCGGCTGGGCTGCGCCGGGCTGGCCGGGGCGCTGAGCCTCAGCCTGACCGCCCCGCTGGAGCTGCTCACCGTGCTGGCCCAGGTGGGCACCTCCCCGCCCTGGCGGGGGCTCTGGCAGGCGGGCCGCAGCGTCTGCCAGGCCGAGGGCATCGGGGCCCTGTGGAAGGGGAACCTCACCGCCTGCCTGCGCCTCTTCCCCTACAGCGCCCTGCAGCTCGCCTCCTACCGCAGGTAAGCGCCGGGCGCTGCCAGGCTCGGCCCGCCTGCTCCTGCAAAGGCGGCTCGGGGCAATTGGGATGGGCAGTGCCAGGCTGCCCTAGCGGGGTGGGGGGTTACGGGTGCTGCCAGGATCTGCTGCCCTCCTGCAAAGGGGTTTCCCAGTTCCCAGGGTACAGGCAGCAGAAGTTGCCCTATTACGTCTCAGATTAACCATTCCGGAGTCTGAGGGCTGGAGCCTCATGCCATGTTTATTACTCGGCTGACCGAGCTGAGATCCAGATTTAAATCATCTGGAAATGCACCCATCCAGACTGGCCCGCCCTTTAGGATGCGTTTGATCATGACTATTTGTCAAAAGACACCTCATCTCTCCCAGGTCAGCAAGTAGAATGTTTCCAGTTTGACTTTAATGTGAAACCTGTTTCCTTGCGTTTTCCTACAATTTAGCATGTGCCGACCTGCCAGATCTCCTTGGGAAAGGAGATTTTCTGGTTTTAGGTTAACATCAGAGACTCATCATATTAAATCTCTCACTTCTGCTTGAAAATATGTCATCTCTCTTGTCTAAGTGCACTCAGTAACACCTAAATTTCCTGTAATTGAAAGAGATTAGGAAAAAAGACGTTACTCCACTTTATTTTATTTTTATTTATTTATTTATTTCAGTTTACTTGGTTGGACAGTGCTTGGTGTGTTGTCAGTTTCCCTGTTCCCTCTATACTCCCTCTCTGGGCCTCAATGAGGTAGTCAGTTTCCCCTGTTGGTGATTTATACATTTTTTAAAAAGGGGAAATTGTGACTGTAAAACTCAACCGAACCATAGGGCTGCTGTTTTTAACTTTTGTTTTTAATTGGCCAGAGTTCAAATTGACTGTGTCCCTTTAAGGAAGTTCAAAGTTCCTCTTTCTCCTGATAATTCTGTTCTTTCAATTATTATGTTTCAATTATTGCAGTAGCTTTAAGTGGTCTCATACAAACATGTACAAAGTCATATATCTTTCAAATTTATCACAGTTTGACAATCCTATAAATGTTCCATTCAGTATGTGATTTACTGCGATTTTTTTTAATTAAGGTCACAGTAGGTTGCAGTTAGCATCTGTTCCTTAAGTACTGTTAGTTGTATTTCTTTTTAGTTTTTCACAAATCTATTTTAAATGAGCCTATGTACAAATATGAATAAGAACATTAATTTTAATTTTACCAAACTCATAACTGAGAGCCTTCATTTTTTATTGCTGTAATGCTATCCTAATGGTGATCTCTAGTCTTTATGCTCAGATTCTTTAAAACTACTGTACCACATTACATGTTAAAACTCCCTTTTTTAAAAAGAAACAGCCACTAGAGGAAATAATGCTGCAGAGAGAGAGAGAGAGGAGTGTTTTGTCAATAGGAAGTAGTTCTGTCAACATTACTTAGCAGAAATGCATGATTTATTTGGATTTCCTTTTCTGTCAGGTAGTTTGCAGTCAGTTGTTTGTTGCAAAGCCTCCAGTGGACTCTGAAGCAGTGGGCGGGTTTGCCTGAAGGTTGTTGGGGTTTTTTTTTTTGTTTGTTTGTTTTTGCCAGTTGGTTTATTGAGGTCAGCTGGGTGCAGGATGTATGCTGGATACTTCAGTATGGTTGGGAGGATGGGGTTATTCCAGTTCATTGGCTTCCCAGACTGAATGGGAGGGGAAGGAAAAGGAGTGGGCTCACCTTCCTGCTGTCCAATCAGGCGCGCCACAGGGGCCTCACGCTGATGCCATCCACTGTTTGTAATGGGCTTGTCCTTTACCTGGCAGTGAGTGAATCATCATTGCTCTCGGTGTGCAGTTCATGATGAAGTTGGGTTAGTGGAGCACCAAGATTTGGACTCAAGCAGCTTTATGTGGGCCTCCTGCTTTGTAACAATTCTATGAAGCTTAGATGGACTGACTGTTACTTTAAACTTGAAACAATGTACCCACTATTTGCTGGGTCAGCAAGCTACTCAGAGGAGAGGATGGACAGTTTTCTTTCTCTTCTCATTTGCCCGGCAGATCCCTGTCAGTTACTACAAGTGGAGAGGAACTGTTAGGCAAAAACAAGTACAAATACTCATGCACTCCCACTCTTTAATGCATTGAGCTGCTTGTGGTTTATTTGTGAGATTCCTAGGAGGGGAATACCATACACAGACACGAAACAGCAGACAGAGATCAACACTAATAATATTTAGTTAATGATAATGCAAACCTCCGAAAAGGACATGTTCTGGCTAGAAAGTTATTGACTGTTTCGAGCCAGGGACTGGTGGCTTGATGGGAAAGGATGGAATTTAATTACACGCACACCCCTACCTCCCTGCCCTTCTGAGCTGCTCCCTGGGCTCTGACTCCCCTCTGACTTCTCCTTTGCTCACTTCCTGCTGCTTGCATGATATCCATCATGCTCATTTCTAATTTGACTTGACTGTGTGCACTGGAGTAAGTCCTTAGTCTGTCCTCTGAATCACAAATGCCAGAATCACAGACTACCCTTGAAGACTCGAGGACACTATCAGTGAGTTGGGAAAAATACAAAACATGCCAATGTTGATGTTTTAATAGCAAACTCAAACCTAGACTTAATTCTTGGCGCAACGTAGTGCCTGAGCATGAGTCTTCTACCTGAGCAAGAGAAGCCCTTCTAACCCCGAGACAATGAAACAAGGAATGTTTTGCTGCTCTCAGGATTGTAATGAAGATTTCTGCATATTTTTTCTATAACTTCTACTGGAGTATCCAGTATATTGGAAACACTGGTAGAGAGCAGTAGTCACATTGCAGATCTCCTGTTGATAACTGAAACAGTGAGTCGACTCCTTTAGCATATTAAGTCTGTGCAGTAGTGTTTTGAGTTATGGTAACTTTCGTCTTGGTCAGGGGTGGGCAAACCTTTTGGCCCGAGGGCCACAGCGGTGTTGCGAAACTGTATGGAGGGCCAGGTAGGGAAGGCTGTGCCTCTCCAACCAGCCTGGCCCCCGCTCCCTATCCACCCCCTCCCACTTCCTGCCCCCTGACTGCCCCCCTCAGAACCCCTGACCCATCCAACGCTCCTCGTCCCCTAACCGCCCCTTCCCGGGACCTCCCCCCATCCAACCGTCCCTGCTCCCTGTCCCCTGACTGCTCTGACCCTTATCCACACCCCCGCTCCTAACTACCCTCCCCCCGGGACCACAGCACCCCTGGGATTCCCACACCTATCCAACGCCCCCTGTTCCCCATCCCCTGACTGGCCCCCCCCCAGAATCTCTGCCCCATCCAACCACCCCCTGACCCCCGACTGCCCCCCAGGACCCCCTGCCCTTTATCTACTTCCCCCCCCACCCCCTTACCATGCTGTTCAGAGCAGCAGGAGCTCACCGCCCTGCCGGAGCCGCCTGCACTGCCCAGCAGGAGGGGCAGGCCAGAGCGCTGGCAGCGTGGCACACAGAGGCTGCGGGGGAGGGGCCAGGGGCTAGCCTCCCCGGCTGGGAACTCAGGGGCCAGGCAGGATGGTCCCGCGGGTCGGAGTTTGCCCACCTCTGGTCTTGGTAGATGTAAATGCAGAGTCCTAGGATTTAAGGCCAGAAGGGATCACCAGATTATCTAGTCCGACCTCCAGGATATCACAGGCCACTAAACACCACCCAGCACCCGCACACTAAACCCAGCCACCAAAATGAAACCACAGTATTACAGCCCACAGGAGACTAGAGTGTTACGTGCCACAGGCAGAGAATAGGGAGGAGTGAGGTGCTGCTTCTCATTAGGGCTCTCATTTACTCATCTGTGTTTAAACCAAAATTCTTTTGAAAAGCAAACCGGTGGTCCTTTGAACTACTACAGTGTGGCATCCCTTAACAGTTTTCATAGTTTTTCTTGAGCTGGTGCTTCATATCCAAGAAAATGGAGAGAGTATTGGTTAGTGGTTCTATCCAGGGACTGGGAGTCAGTCACTGAATTGCTTTGTGACCAAAGGGCAAGTCATTCTGACCTCTGTGCCCATGTTTACCCCCTGTTTACAATTACTATTACCTGCTTCATGGAGGTTTTGAGGCTTGCTCAGGATTTGTAATGTGCTTGGAGATCCTGGGATGAAATGCATCCTTGAAATTCTACGTATTCTCAAATAAGCTGATGGGCAGAAGAACAATTACAACAAGAGCTATCTTTATTTTTATGCCTGATTTTTATTGAGTAATAATTAATAGTTCCTCTTTTGTCTGTCTCTTCTAGGTTCGTCATGCTCTTTATGGATGACTTGGGCCACATTTCCCAGTGGAGTGCCATCATGGCCGGAAGCCTGGCTGGCACGGTTGCAACCGTAGTGACTTACCCTACCGATGTGGTAAAAACACGACTCATAGTGCAGAACCGGTTGGAGCCATCTTATAAAGGGATTCTTCATGCTTTTTACACAATTTATCATCAAGAAGGATTCCTTGCACTTTATCGCGGTGTTTCGCTGACTGTATTAGGTAAGCTAATAATGGGAAAGAGTGGGGTGTTTTAGCTTTACTGTACGTTATATATTGAAACATCAATATGATGCCCCTGCAAGTTTTCCCAGTTCATTTTAAATGTGCAAGCAGTAAAATGACTCTCTGTAGAGGACATCTAGAGGTACAAAGCACTGTCGGTCACAACTTGTTTCACAATTTTGTTATTTCTGCGGTAGCAGAGTTGTCTCTAAATGATGAGCAAGTGCTGCCAGTTTTATCTTTAATGGGTGTGGCTAAAAGAATTTGAGAAGATACACTTGCCTAGCTTTTCTGGATTACCTGGTTGCATTTAGAGGCAGCCTATTTCTCCTTCACTTAACTTAAGAAAAATTATGCATACCCAGAGTGCACTGTGGCTGTAATACAGTCCTCCTGAAAGGTGAATCAAAGCAGTGGCGTTCCTCTTTACTTGAGGCAGGTGTGGCATTTTTATTTATTTTGTAAAATGTTTATTGACTCTCTACTCTATAGCTTGCAGAATACCACATTTTAACATACCGTAAATCTTTGCATAAATTGATTCGGACAAAAAAAATGAGCACTAACAGCTTACAAGCAAAACTTAAAATTGGTGACAGCAGAAAACAGAAATCGTATGCCAGGCAAGAGAGAAGAACGTGACTCATCAACTTGGGCTGTAGGGCAGCCCAGTTGTGTGAGGAATGGAACAAAAGATTGACCTTTCGTGAGACCAAAACAGTAAGGCACCAACACGATATACAAGCCCTTTTGTAAACGTAAATGCCTAATGACCTATTTGGACCCTGAAACCTGAGGTTTAAATAAGCAAGACATCCCCTTGATAAACTAATATCTAACAAGTAAAGGTTTTTAGATATTTAAGTCTGATCCAAGTGAGCAAAGCAGAGTTTAAACTGGCTTACAGTCCCTGGCATTTAGACAAGGCTAGGAGGAAGCATTATACTTTGTGCTCACGTGAATCTTTTCTGTCTGGTTTGCTTTATAGGTGCTATCCCATTTTCTGCTGGCTCATTCTTTGTTTACATCAATCTGAATAAAATATGGCAAGAGCCCAGCTTTCGCTTCTCTCCTCTTCAGAACTTCATAAATGGCTGCCTAGCAGCTGGGGTAGCCCAGACACTCTCCTTCCCCTTTGAGACCGTAAAGAGGAAAATGCAGGTACGGAGCATCGTTATTGTTACCATTTTGGTGGTAGTCATATTGTCAGTGTTAGTTTCAAGAGTTTGGGGCCAGGCATTAGCCAGTTGATTGTGATTCCTTTTTACCAAGAGTGAATCCTTAGAGAGGTTGAATTATTCCTGGCAGTAATGGCCGAGACTTTTTTGGCTTAGGTTTTGTTAAGACCAGTTTAAGTGGTATCATGCGATCAACAATACTTCTTGATGTTACCTTATTTTCATTAAAATGTCATCACCATCATCAGAGTACCAAAGAGTTGTCATCATTTGGTGGCTGCTTGACCTAAGTCAAATGAGCTGATATCCTGCTCTTGGTGTGCAGGTATCCACATCATAAATGCTCCCATCATAATTGGCAGCCTTGTTGACAATCTCAGCTTGGAAGTCAAACAAAAGGGATGGAGACTACTTGGGGAGGCCCCTTTGAGTCAGGGTTCAGGCCTATTGAAGTGGAAGTGTTCACTGCTTCTCTATTCAACAAGTAAACATGGGACTTCATTTCTAAGGCTCTCTAAGGGTACTTGTACATTGCAAAAAAGACCCATGGTGCTGAGGCTCGGAGCCCATGTCAGCTGAATCGGGCTCATGCTATGGGGCTAAAAATAGCACTGTAGACATTCCTGGTCGGGCTGGAGCCCAGCTTGAGACCCTATTTTTAGCCCCATAGCCCAAGCCCCATAAGCCAAGTCAGTTAACCTGCACTCTGAGACTTGCTGTGGTGCAGTTTTTTTGTAGTGTAGATGCACTCTGTGTCTGATGCCCTACCTGAGCACAAACTTTGGGACTAGGACGATGAGTAGTGGGAATATCCCTTCCTTTTAGTTCTCTCCTCAGATCTACTAAACTCATGCTTCTGCCCGATAGTGTAATAAGGAAAACTAGTTCCCCCTCAGTTCAAACTGGGATTTAAATTCCCTTATTGTTTTTAGGACAGTTATAACACAGTTCCCCAAAATAGTGTGAAATCTGATTTTCCCCCTCCGCCCGCCTACCATTCTGTCCTGAATCCAGAGCTTTGCCTTCTCCCCCCGCTCTTCATACTCATATGAAACGGTTCACTTGTTTCACCACTTGAGTTGCTTGTATTGTTCCCTGTGTTGGAGTTCCTACACACATTCCACGTAAGTTCATAGCTAGCACAGTCTATAGAGAATTAGGCAGGGACCAGGTCATAGTCTCATGCTTTTCTCGTTAGCCTTAACTACCTACATTTCAGTGCACCACTAATTTGTGCACTAAGTTTTCATAGCTAGTGAGAAGGAAAATTCACAGGCTTCCAGTCTTATGTTAAAAAGATCCATTTATAGTTTGCTCCTCTGGAGCAGTACAGTTGGGGAAGCAAAAACATCATTTCTTTTCAGCCACTAGGGTGTGCTGTTTCACCTTTTCTTTTTTTTTTTATAGATAAGTGCCAGCTGCTCTCTGTTGGGTACTTCTGTATAGAATGAAGTGAGCTGTAGCTCACGAAAGCTCATGCTCAAATAAATTGGTTAGTCTCTAAGGTGCCACAAGTCCTCCTTTTCTTTTTGTGAATACAGACTAACACAGCTGCTACTCTGAAACCTGTATAGAATGAGAAACTCTGGGTTTATTGCCCTATCTCTGTAAAGAACTGTCCTACACTTCCAGCAAATAAATGTCTTTAAAAAAAAAAAGACCAGAAAGAAGAAATTGAACAAAAATATAAATATTTTCTCTGTTCTACAGTGATTTGTTTTCACCTTTTCTGCAATTTGTATACTTGTTAAGTGCCTTACAGTCTTAACGTGATTTTTTGAGGTTAAAGACCCCCCCAACTCCCCATAATGCTTTACTAACAAGCTGTGGGGAAGGCAGGAGGATACATATAAATTCAATCAATCCTGATTTGTTATTTTTAAGTAGGAGTGGTTGAACTTGCTCAAACTGCCAAGTAAAAAGCCATTGAAAATCATAGCCTGGCTGACCCTGGGGGCTGGCTAAAGCTGGGTTGAATCGATCTACAAAGTTGTTTCTAAAAGTTAGCATAAGCATGTAGCTCAGCCTTGTGGGGGATCAGTTCCACACTGATCTCGCCTGCTGAGGGCCTGAATCTCCTCTCGCTGAAGCAAATGGAAAGGCTCCCATTGCCTTCAATAGGACGTGGACTGGACCCTGAAAGTGCTCTGAAGGAGGAATGCTCTGTCCCCAGTACAGAGGGGAGTCAGTGCGTGAGGGAGTGCAGAGTAGCCATGATGATGTCAGCACCAGAAGGGCAGTGACAACGTGGGACCTGGGAAGGAGTGGGGAAATGGAACATCCCAGAGGTACAGTGGGGAAAACAATAGGAGGAAGAAAAGAAAGGAGCTAATACCTTTTGTAACCATGAATCTGTCCCAACTGTCTCTTCTGATCCGTTTCCATCTGGTGAGCCTAATCACTGGGAAATAAAAACATGTGATGTACTGAAATGTTTAGCTACCCCAGTAGGCTAGCATGAGCACTCTGCAGTGGCACATGGGGAAACTCTGGTTCATTTCACAGACCTGGACTCTTGCTTGCTGGGTGAGGAGGAGCTGAGAGCTCTGGGGCAGACTTGTGGCCACAAGGAGTCCCTCTGATGGACTTCAGAAATAAAACTAGCAGGCTGCCAAAGGAGCGTCACCAATCTTCCTGCCCAAGGAGATCCAGTGGCTCAATATTGGTGTTGGGCAGGGGAAATTGGGGAGTCTCAAGGCTCTGTCAGATCCCCCTGTGAGAGAGGGAACTGGACAACCATCAGGAAGAAAACCTAGACCCCACTAATATAGCAGTGGTCTGGAACTGCAGCACTGATCCAAGGAGGTGAGAGTAGGACTGGATTCTAGGAACACTTGAGTTCTAATCCCAGCTCTGTAACTGACTTGGTAGACAGCCTTGGGCAAATCACTTGAACTCCATCTATTTCCATGTCTGAATAACACTTAATTCCTCAGTTATGAGTTGTATGGACAGTTCTTTGAAGATACATACCACTATTTAAGGACTAAGTACTACTAACATTTATCATAGTCACCTTCATCCATCCTTTCCAGTGTTACATATCTACAACCAGATCCTGCCCCACTGAGGTCAGCAGGAGTTTTGTCACTGACTTCAATGGAACAGGCTCAGACTCTCCATTGTTTTATATTTTGGTGGTGATTTAGTCTGTCAAACTTGTTCCTGTAACCATGGCTCTCCCCTTCCCCTCTTCACCCGCAGGGTTATAGTTAACATGTTTAGCTTTTTTTTAAAAAAAAAAGTTGCTATATTTGACGTGAAATATAGTCGAATGCTTTTTTATTTTTTTAATTAAAAACAAATTCTAATCAGTCATTTTGAATGTGTGAGCCCTCTCTCTCTATCTTGATTATCCTAATTTTATCCCTTTGTCTTCCTTTTTTCATTTTGCTCCTGTTTGGCATGTTAGAGAATTGAGAGGTACAGTATGCATGTTTTGGCATGGAACCTATGGCTTATATTGTGAATCTAGAGGATGGGGTTAGTCAGAGGGAAATTTCTCAGTAACACTTTCTGTGTTACCAACTTTTAGAAGAAATAAGTAAATTATTGCTTAGGTGAAAGAGAACCTAAGACTAGATCCTTCCCTCCAGTATGAGATGGCCTTTATCTTAGCCCATCATAGTGCACAAGGTATTCGAAGGCAGGATACAAACCTAATGACTGAAAAAGGAAATAGCTGGATAACTTTTATTCAAAGTTTAGAAGAAAAACTTAGGGGGTGTTGAGTTGACATTTTTATAATCTTTGTTTGAATCCAAGTACGTGCTGAAAACCTCACTAAAATTTTCACATTAAAATTTAATTAAATTTTGCATAGCTGATTTGTGTTCCATTGGCATTATAGGGGTCACTTTAGGTTAAAAATTGTATATGTTAAATAAATTTGTATGTTACATATAACACCATAGATATTAAACCTCCACATTATTTCTTACTTTTTCACTCACTCTTTGCATTTTGTTCAGTTTGAACAATGAAAATAGTCTAATCAGTTTCATTTTTATTTTTAGTCAATTTCTAATTAATGTCTTTATTAGGCTGTCATGCACTAGCAGGATGCAATGTTTGTTTGCAAATATTAAAAGGAAATGTAGGGGAGGAGAAGGGGTGTTGAGGTTTATTTAATTGCTTTCTTAAGACTCTCTTAATATTTCTAAGGTAATTCAATCCAAATAAAAACTGCCAGTTATAAATACTCTCATCTTCCATCCGTAGCATGAAAAATATTGAGGAGTTGTTTAAACCAACATCCAGTTTCCCAGATGAATATGTAATACTGTATCAATGGACCTTGCACCTTTATTAAAGTGAATTCAAGATTCTCTCTCTCTCTCTCTCTCTGCTGTTACCTTTAGCCAGTCTGTAGTAGGGGAAACCTTTCTTTATGGGGGATCCCAGGGACAAGGGAGGCACTGGTAGCACGGTTCCACTTTCTCCACCCTATTCCCATGGTTTGGGTGATTTCCATCAGATCTTTGTACACTGCACTGGCCCTCTTCCTCTGCAGGTGTTTCCACAGGAGGGGATGCTCTGAGCCTTGGATTTCACTATAGCTGTTATGTGCCATATATGGGATTATAATTAGAAGAGTACTGAACCCGTGCTATACACAATGGGACTAAAGTTGTATCAAAAGGGTTTCGTTGGGGTTTTTTTGTTTGTTTTTTGCACCATAACAAAAGTGACTTGGGTAGAGAAGAATCTCACTTTATTCCCCTCCCTCCCAAAGTTTCAAATCAGGCCACCCCATCTTTCTGGATATCCAGAGACTCCTACATCAGGTCTTCCCTTCCTCCAGCCCATGGGAGTTGAGCACGCTGAGTCGGTAGTATTTCTGGCCTCTATGGACCCAGAGACCTAAACATGGATCACACATGTGGCCAACAAAGTCAATGGGCTGGTCCAACAAAGATATTTTTAAGCTAGAATCCGTCTTGAAGTAAAGCTCAGGGACTGAGCTCCAGTAGGTAGGCTTAC